TATTAACTTGATTCTTTAGATATTGAAAATTAAATAAATAACATTATGTTAATTTAAGCGTACAGAAACGTTGCTGTTGTTCCAGCAAAAATCTTATTTTCACTTTACCGAGTGCCTAGTAGGTAATTTGCAGATTACCTAGATAATCTGAACATTACCTAGGTAATTTGAGAAATGGAATAATTTTCGCAGCTTTAACGGATCACTCTAGTTAATCTGCAGATTAGCTAGGTAATGCGCACATTAACGGATTTCGAGCTTTAGCGGTAACATATATATAAATTAGATAATCCTTTACTCAAGAAGACCAACTCCATTATTCTAAAATAATAAGTCACTTATATATAATATAATACAGAAATCAGATCTTTTTTTAAATTATTGACTCATTTACAGTTATGAAAATGTAACAGAACTTAACTAGTAGTTGTTTCATTGGCACTTTTATTTTTAATCCGTTACTTTAATGAAACTTTTTTTATATAAATTATTTTTTATACACTAATAAAATACTTTCATTTAGCTAAAACTTAACTACTAATTTTAAATAAATTTTTTGTTCTCTGCCATTTATTAACTGACAATAAACCAACAAGTTTGAATACATTTCTGCATTAAATTAAAAGTTTGGTTCCTATATTTATATTACATTAGTTATTATTATTACTTTATGCATAATTTAAGAATTTACTTCAAATTTTAGATTTATCTTAATTTAAATATAACAATCAAAAATTAAAATTATGTTGAAAAAATAACAATATCTTATTGCAGAGTATAGTTATTAATAGAGGTTATAGATTTAATTTATTACATTACTTGCAAAGTATGCTTTTCTTATTGAATAATTCAACATATGAATGCATAAAATTTATATCTATAATTCTAAAACTAACCTGAACAAATTGAATGACTATTCAATTTAGATACTTACCTTTCTCCGCTTTTCTTCTTTTTCTTTTATTGCATATTTTTACTGCACATACAGAAAGGACAATGGCAGCTATAAAAAAAAGAATTCCACCGACAACCCCAGCAGTAATAGCCTTACTGCGATTAAGATCTCCATCACCTTAAAAAATGAAGTTTATACATAATAATTAAATAATTAAAAATCTTTAAAATTCTGTAAGAAAAATATCATATAAGATAGAAAAATTATTTTTTCTGAATGGAAATTTTCTTTTGTTAAGTGAATAAATATATGTAATACAAATTACAAATTCACACTGCTTTTGAGTATATTTTTATTTTCAGATGAAATTATTTGAAACTGATTGGTTATCTCTGTTTTATATATATATATATATACAGTATATAACAGAAACAGAGATAACCAATCAGTTTATATATGTAGGTGGAAGATATAATGGTATAAGACAAGAAGACAACCATAATAAATTCCAGAACTGTTTAGAGAAAAGAAGTGGAGAAGCAAAGAAAGAATGCATTAATATGTAAGAAACTATTGAGGAGATCTAAGCTATACAAAATGTATTAAAGCAGATTGAAATTTATTTCAAGCATCTAAGTACTAGTGCAATTAGTTGGACCCTTGCAATGCAGAAAAAATACATTGGCAAAAAAATACTCAAAAATATTTACAAAAAACTGCTTTAAAAAATTCTGTGGTATTATTCTTGTATTATTCTGTATTTCCACTGTTTTTTCAAGAAGAGAAAGATATTACATTTCAAAGTGGCTTACACAATAATGTTCAAGGAAAGGATTTAATTGTGACTGACAATTCAATGCATGAATTGTGCCAAAAACAGCATTACTGTTTTGCAATATCAATCATTATCTGAAGATTTCATATATGATTTTCAAAATCAGTTTCACAAAGCCATATTATAAAATATTTAAAGCTAAGGTGCAGATTTGTTAGTCATCAATCACAAATTTATTACTTTACTTTATGTTCTGGACTGTCCAAGTCCCACTAATTTCATCAAAATTTAATTGTTTTTTAGAAAATAAAAGAAAAATATTTTGTAAAATAAATAATAAACAAACAATAAACAATGTAACTCCTAAGATAAACAATCTAATTGGTATTGGAATTTGACATCATACTAAATATTGATGATCAACCTCTTCTGCAACCTGAATTGGTCTCGATTTACACCTGGAAACAGAGATCAATTGGAGAGTGTGGATGAGGAATCAATGTCAATTGGGGTGGGTGATCGAGGGACTGAATGGATAAAAACCTAAAAAGTCAAGGTTCTGTTAGTTTTTTCACAGAAAGTTCCTTAATCCCTTGTTCCTTGTTTTCTGACTTGTTTCCACTGATGTCAGGAGCCAGATGCCTTCTATCTTTGTACTGTCTACATGAAACAAACAAACTTAGGGAGGGTGTTACACCACCCTAAGTTTGCTTGCTTTTTTTCTTGACCATGAGAAAGAAATCGTCACACCTACCAAAATTATTTCCCTGAAAGAAGTGAATGACTGATTGGATCCTGGTGTCGTAAACTTTTTGCTGAAGAATAGTTTCAGAAGTTACTGACTAAATATCTCTGCAGCTCAGCTGGTTGAAGTAGATTGAACTCTACCAGAAGATGGACTATAATCCAGTGATTTTCTCTTAAGGAACCTTATCGACTATCAAAGACTTATGTCCAAGTCGCCCATTTGTTAGAGTGCAACAATGATACCATCAAAAAGTGTGTAAACTTTACTCCAATAAAGCAGTTTTTATGTAAACAGAGTCGGGACTAATGCCCACTCCACCCTGATCCTGATCAATAGATCTGTTTCTCTAGGAGTATTGACCACTAACTCATTGGTGATATCAGAGCTGTGAACAACTTCACAAAGGTCCTCAAATTAATATATACTTGCAGATATTCATAATAGTTTAGATAAAAGAATAAAATAACAAAAACTAGAAAATATAATACAAAATAATTGTAAACTAGTGTATATCTGCGCAGATAAGACGATAGTTGAATCATAAAAAAAGACCTCCAAAATCCGGGGTCGTCTTATAGGACATATATATAAATTTCAATCTAAGTTTTTTTTTGTAAATTAAAACCATTATTAAAAGACTGACAAACCATAATTATTTACTAGTAGAGTAGGGTATGTCCACAAAATAAAATAGTCCATACGATATTTTTGTGAATAGTCAAGGTCATTACCCAAATGCCTGAATCTGTGCAAACGTTTGCAAAAATTGCAAGACAGTGCTGCCAGATAAAAGATAATAAAATTTGTTCATTCGAAAAATTACAAATAGGACATAATTCTGTATACACTAACAGTGTTATTATTCAGATGATGATCGCTGATCTAAACTAAATTCATAGGCCATTGATAGTTTGGGGGTCATCTTATAGGACAGATATATGCTAAAACAATAAAACTTTAATGAAAATTTATACCTCATCTTATCTGCGCAGATATAAGGTAACTAAAAACCAGTGTGTAGTTGTTTGAAAATAAAAATACATCACAAAGTGATACAAACTTATAATACTAATATTGGAAAGCCAAAAGTTAATTATGCCCTAGAATTTATGAATTACATATTATTTGTAAAATTATGCTGAAAATTGATTCTATCAGAGAATAATGAATGAATTCATTTTCAGTATAATTTATACTATAATGAATGAACAAAAACTTATTAATCATTAATAAATTAAATGCCTAACCATTTTTTGGATATTCAACATTTTAAGTACAGGTATCCTTCATATAACATGATAGTTATGTTCTGAAAAAGTGCTGTGTTATGCAAATCCGTGCTATACAAAACAAAGGACTAATGCAAAACATGGGGTTAGGTTCCAGAAGTTAGCAAAAGTATACTATTCTCTTTTGTTACTAACAGAAATATGTTTATGAAAGCAATCAATAATTTATTTCCAATCGATAATTAACTAACAATCACAATTAAAAGTACTTTATCATGCATTAATATTAATTTTAATTAAATGAGGACGTTTATTTTTACAAAGTATAGTCATCTGCTGAGCTTTTTTGTTGTTGTTATTGATCAGAAATATCAGCAACTAATTCATTCTTTTATTTTTATCATAATTTTTTATGTATGAAAAAATAAAAGTATGTTATTAATTGAAAATTTGTTCTAGAGGGTTGTGATTGTTCAGTCAAGTACTGACAGGGCCGGATCATCGCAAAGACAAATGAGACAAATGTCTAGGGCCCAGTTTTTAGAAGGGCCCGGTCAAACTGTCTATTTTGAAAAGATTTGTAAATAAGACAGTTTACTTTTTTGTTGGACAATTGTATATAATAAACAAATAAACAAAAATATATTGCTTTTTATATGGTTATTGTGAATTCTAGAATCTAAAGTAAATGTGTTCTTATGTGAGAGGAGGCCCGATAAGAAGAAAATATCTAGGGCCCCAAAGTGGGTTAATCCGGCTCTGAGTACTGGGCAATTTTTTCCAGAAATTCTGTTGAAATATAAATTGTTTGAGTTGAGAAAAGTTTGAGTACCAAGATACCATCTTATTCATTTGTCATTTTTATGAATCATTACTTACCTATGGTTAAAAAATGTTTAATAACACTTATCTAAAATTGTTTAAATAAACTTTACTAAATACAAAGATTAAACTATAAAAAGAAACATAATGACAGTCTTAATGGCTAAAGTCTGAAAGCAACAACGACGACACTTGGCTGATAAGAAAGATAGGACAAGAAAGAAAAAAACTGTCCTATCAGTATTCATGAAAGTAAAACTGATGAAAGGCACAGAACAAACTGAAAATTTCAATATTCTAAAATCTATGGACAAATTTGAGACAACATGCATACTTACTTGAATAAAAAAATATATACATATTGAACAACAGAGTTTATACTTATAAATTGTAAAAATGTATGGAGGATTCCCAAACTGTTAGAGTGAGACTAGAAACAGTGTTATATGGGAGATATTCCCAATTTTCAAACTGTGTTAGAATGAAACCATGTTGTAGAAGTGCAATGTTGTACGAGGGATACCTGTATATTTATAACTTAATTATGTACATGTAATAAATTTAATAATAATAATATTTTATTAAAAATTATCAATGAGAGGGAATTATCTGGTAGGTGCACACAGCACTTCATCTGCTCATGAAATACAATTTGGTTAGGGAGTTGGAGATTGATTTAAATTTTGAAAAAGTTTAAAGATCTGAATGGAATCTGAGGAGTTCTTGTATTTACATACTCTTGAAGATGAGATAGAAGCTCAAAAATCCTATGGACATTGCTTCTTATATGTGATTTGTGATATCAAGTTGTTCAAAAAAATAGAATAGTTAAATTATGTAATTCACATATTTATTTTTACAAATTTTAATGTAAAGTCACAAAGTGTCCTACTAATACCATCTCCCAAATAATAAGATTCTTTTAAAATACAACAAAATAAAACAAACATTTATGCTTAATATCTTATGTAAAAGGGTTTTACAGTGTGATTTAAATTTGACAAAATTCAGATAAAGTCACTCTTTCATCAAGAAGGTGATTGAAATAGTTCTACTGAAACATTTCTTAATGCAAAGAGCATTAAGAAATGTTTAACCTTGAGCATTGACAAGAAGTGTTTCTAATAGTTTGCATATGGAGAAAGACATCATCTGGTAGTAAAATTCCATAAAAATTTTTAAAATAAAATCCTAAAGACTACATTTGTATGAGAACAGTCACCATTTACTCATCTTCGTTGTTCTGGAATTCAGCTTTTGACATCCAACCTTTCTTTGTAGACTGCTTTGGTTGCCAAAATTTAAAAAACATTTTCTTTAAAAATAATAAAAGAATAGCAGAAACTCATTATATAAAAAGTCCAAGTAATAATTTAGTTTCAATATGGCATGGATGGAAAGGAAAGATATCTGTGTTGTTACCAGCTCCAATTTAAAAATTGTTTGTTTTTAGTTAAATTTTTTTCCATTGTTTTTGAAAGAAATTTTTTAAATTTTGGCAACCAAAGCAACCTACAAAGAAAGGCCAGTTATCAAAAGCTGTATTCCAGAACAGTTAAAATGGATAAATGATGAATGTTCTCTGACAGACTGTCTTCAATTTTAATTTCAATTACAATCCAGAGAAAAAATTTTCCTATTGGAATAGATAATTCTAGTTTTAAGAGTAATTTTTATGATCTTATTAAGATAAAATATATCATCTTATTTTTCTTCTACTTCAATCTTTTTCCTTCATTTTCAATCTGTACAAGGGCTGATCAAAGTATCTGGGACAGAATTTTTTATAGAGAAACTATGAATAGTAACAATGTAACAACTATGGAAGATATTTGACTATATCTCCTGATGCCATATGTTAGAATAATAGGTGGTAGCATGACTCAATTTTCAGTGAATTAAGCTACAGTGCAGACATGTGTTTCTCTCTGTTGTGCTGTAAAATAGATGAGTTGAACAAGTAACATGTTTGCATCAAGTTTTGATGGAAAATTAGCAACATAATCACTGAAATGTGTGAAATGTTTCAACAATCATTTGGAAACAGCATTCAGTTGGTCCAAAACATTTGAGTAATATTCACATATAAAAAATAGCTGCACATCAATTGATGATGACCCATGGGTTGATCAGTGACATAAATCGATGAGATTGTTGATCATCAGTTTCTCTGGACAGTTCTGCAGTGCCTTAGAGATGCCTTTGTTGTAAATACTCTTATAATGGTCTTTTTTTTGTTGTTGCTTGTATTTGACAAATTGGCTAAATAGGGACCATTTTGCCCATAGAAAGTCCTTCCAGGAGACCTCTCTCAAGAGGACTATGAAAAAATGGTCCTTATTTAGATATTACAAACCAAAAAAAAACCCAGAAAACTCCATGTGGCAAATCATGAACTCACAACCAACTATCAATGCTTTGTGGTTTTATCCATTCAGTTACTGGTGGGCTAAAAATGGTCTTCTGGTAACTGATTTCTGCACCATGACAAAGTGCCATGCCATGAAGCCAAGTGCCATAGAATTTTTGGCAAAGCATGACATCCATGTAGTTCCCACCAACCTACCTTAATCTCACAAGATTTGGCCCCATGACTACTACTGCTTTCCCAGGCTCAAAAGCTCCCGGAAGGAAAAAAGATATCAGGCATCACAGAAATACAAATTAAAATGAAATAACAATGGCAAGCCATTCCCAAAAAAGCCTCTCAGACTTGCATGAAAAAGTGGAAGGATCACTACAATTGCTGCAGAAAATCTGGAGGGTCTTACTTTAAAGGAGAATTTCTAATGGCTGGTAATTGCTTTTGTTTTTTTTTTCACAATTCTGTCCTGGAAATTTTTGATCAGCGTCATATATATTTGATATATATTTTATATACAATATTCTCAACAAATAAATCCTAAAAATTTAATCATAAAGTTAAGTTTAAACATTTAAATTTAAAGAAATAATAAATTTGTTTTAAAGCAACAGCATTTGTAAATTGATATGTAAATACTTCAAAAATTTTTCAAAATTATCATCCTATAAAACATTGCAACAACTAAGGTAGAAAATTTTTTATTTAGTTTGTTGACAATTTAACTACATTAATCAAATTTTGGAAGCCAATAAGTCATTGTTGTATTTTTCTTCTCCCCACAAATCTTAATGACATGAAAAATGTGTTGATATAATGGAAGTTAAGAAAAATAACTTTCAGGACTATTTTCTGTAGCATTGGTAGAAGTATTTAGTTGCACATGAAAAATATCTTGAATTAAATGTGTAAACCATTTTTGGATTATATATTTTTGTACAATAAAGTTAGAAGCTTTTTGAATATGTGTTTCTGTACTACTTGTTACAAAAGTAAAATCCTGTTAATCTCAGCTGTTATCAAAAATATTCCCAATTAAGAAGATTAACAAGATTTGGCTTCCATAAAATACCAAAAAGAAACAAACATAGTTTTGAATATGCACATAGTTAACTCAAAACAAGAACTGAAAATCAATTTTGATTAAAGTTATTAACTTAAAATTTGATAGAAATATCAATTTTAATGATTTGATATGAAAAAAATTTGCAACTTTCAAGTTTCTAACACAAAGACACAACTTATAATTCAGAAATTTTGAAGTCAAAGACTTTAAATGAGGAAAATATCATGAAAGATTTATACAGAGTATGCACTGTTTTTATCCTTAAATATTTCAGAGAAAAATCATAATTCTATAACTTATTAGTACCTCATTAATTAAACCAAAGAAAATTTTGATGTTTTAATTCTTAAAATTATCATAACTTAATCTAGTTTATGATTTAAATATTGATTATATTATTCATTTAATATTGAAATGAAGTTAGTTCTGGAAATTAATCTCAATGGATACAACAGTAAAAAACTTGTTAAAACAGAGAAAATTAATTCTTTCTTATATAATCTTTTTAAATGTGCAGTTCTTTCAAATTTCATAAAAATGTTACAAAGTTAAAAAGCCAAAGTTTGAATTAATACATACACCCACAAACACACAAAAGTTATGTATTCAAGAAGCAAAGAATATATCTTAGAATTTAGAAGAACATTCAAATTTATTTTCAATAAAATTTTCAATCTACTATTATTGGTACAGTACATTCCTATTACTCTGTTTCTGACTAACAATCTTTCATTTCTAGCATGAGAGAATTAAATCAAATAACAAATATTTGATGTGTGATTTATGGATAATATTTTATTCTAATTTTTTATTCTTTCAATTAAAATGACAAATTTACTGAACTATGCAATGGCTTTTTTAAAAGGTTATCTTGTCAAATTTCAAAATTATGAAATTGGTTTTTAAAAAAATTCCTATTGACTTATCCATAGGCATTTTTGGCATCCTAATTAGATCTTAGATAATTAAGAGTCCTCTATTATATCTTCCAGAAAACTCAAACATATTGGAGTCAGTAACCATTGAAAAATAAAAAAATATATATATAACTTACTAGATAAATGTTTTAATAATTACCTTGAATATTAAACTGCACTTCAACACTTGGTGATTCTTTAGCCATTAATGAGTATGCACTAATTCGAAAAGTGTAATTTGTACCACCAGACAAACCTTTTGCTAAATAAAACACCATAGATATTATTAAAACATATATATAAAATTACATTTTAAATTTTACTTTTAATAATATTTAATCTCATATAAATTCATATATAATATGTAAATTCATTCATATATTCATGCTTTATATACAATGAATATATAAAATGAAAATTTAAAAATATTTGATTAATAATTAAATTTGTATAAATGTATAATTGCTTCAAGTAAAATACAACAGCTATTATGTTTCAACTCTACAGAATTTTATTTGAATATATTAGTCATAATTCATATATATATAAAAGTTCATCTAGAATGTTTTAATCTTAAATTTTGCAAATAAAACTAATTTTTATGAATAAACCATGATATTGCCTTGTTTTTAGATTGAAAACATTGACAAATTCTTCTGGAAACTACTTTTGACAGATACAATACTTTCTCTCAATGTAGCTGTAATATAAAGGTTGCTCCACACACTTGGTATTCACCAATTGCTGAACAATTACCCATTTGTTCCCTTTGATTTGATTTGCACAACACACCGACAAGGAGTGGGAAATGGCAAATACCAAATACTCACCATTTCAACTCACAAGTAAATCATCCATACTACTATAAAATGGACAAATGTTTGCTCAGTATTTGGTGAATACCAAGCGCATGGGACTGCCTTAATAACTTTAAATTTGCACTATACATTTCATTCAAGATTAATTTTTAAAACATATTATTATGACTTTTTTCATACCTCATAATAAAATACAAAATGATTTTTATCATTTCAAAAGCAAAATTCAAAGTTTTCTAAATAATGTGTTTTCACCTAATAAACAACAGCCTAAGATTTTGAATTGACAAGAATATCATACTGATTCACAAAATTTAAAATTAGAAATGATAATGCCAAATATCTTTTTAAATTTATATGCATTCTTAAATATTTAGTAATAACTTTTAATTTTAAAATTTGAAAAAAAGCAAATTAATAGCAATTGTATTTTAATTAAATTCATCTACGTCTATTAAAATTTACATTTTTGCAATGTAATATTAATATACATTGCATATGCATTGCACATTGCAATGTATAAATTAATATACACTGAAAAAACCAAATCATCAGATAAAACATAGATTTTGATAAAATGTTGTCAATTTTTTTTTATATATGAATTTGTATTTATATATATATATGTAAATATTTAACATAAAATAAATAAATAAAATACACTTTCCTTTTTTTTGGATAAGTTCAAAGTAGAAAGAGAACTTTGTATATAAATACAAATTTGTATGAGATCATTAATTTCTGTAGTAGATGATTGATAGCATGAAAGATTCAAATATAAATGATACTTTCATGTCTTAATAATAATCTCAGCATAAATTAACCTCACATGAAAAATAATAAAATTTTAATTTTTATTGAATATATCTAATAGATTTTTTTTTATTTGCCATTATTTCAAAATACCAAGTGATCATAATTAAAGTACAACTATTCAATTCCGTCTAGTTAGATATTTAGCAGTACAATCTAACAGGAAGACATTTTGTGATGTGCAAAAGATATTTCTGTAGAAAACATTAGTATCAAAACTCACCACTTTGTTGCTTGCATTTCCAATAGTGCCAAACATTTTATTTGTACAAGAAACTCATGCTATACAGAGAGTTTAGCTAATGCAAGAGATACTGCTCAATTTGATCCCCATTCTGAAGGTAAAACAGTGTGTTCGATGGCTGACTGTAATTGATCCTCTATGATCTTCTCACATGCAGTTTGATGCTGTTTTGAGTCTACCAAATTTGCAACATTTTCTCAATAAATCATACTTTTTAAGTTTTTCCATAAATAAAACTGCTGTTTCGTTACCTACAATGCCAAAAGTTCCTTAGAGATAAGTTTTGGTAATAAACTTTTTTTGAAAATGTCACCATATTTAGATTTGGTTGCATTTGGACTGCTAAATATCTCTCAAGACTGGTAAATATGAATATTTTAATTATGATCATCTGGTACCACTTGTTATTATTGTATATAATAACAAACATTCATTTTGATCATTCAATGATTTTGCTAATTTTATATAATTTTATTTGAAATAAAGATAAATTTGATAAAAATTGATCCATAAACATTTTTAAAGCAGAACTCCAATCTTTTATTCCATTAGGAAGGTTAATTCAACTTTCTTTATTTTCAAAACTGCAAATAAATCTTCTTAAATAAAAATTAATTATTTCTTATAGATTATACATAAATTACACTTAAATGTAACATCATCAATTCAGATTTCTAGGCATATTTTCACTCGATCAGCAGTTAAAACAAACCAATTAAAAAAAAAGTAAATAAATATATAATTAAATTTTTGATCCTGATAAAAAATAAAGATAAAAATAACATCTTAAAGAGTAGAAGATAATTTAAAAGTAAATGAGAACTAATGTTTGCTAAAAATACCATGCCTGCATTATATAATTTATAGATCTAACATTCATATCTAACAAAATACAAATAAATAAAATGATTTTATAATAATCAGACATAAAAAAAAAATATTTACATCATACTTTAGATGATTAGTATCAAAAATTTGGTTCATATTGAAAGTGAGGTCACATTAAACTGTATAAAATTATATATTTTGTTGTAATAAATTTGAAAGTTGCAATAATCATATACTATACAATTTTTGGATGTTTTCAGCAGCTTTCTATCAGCTAAAAGCATGAAATTGAGAGCCAACTATTGATCATATTATAAGCAATTCCATGTTAAGCTGTATTTTATTAAGTCTATAACATATAAATTTTACACCCTTAACATCTTAATTCACAGAAAGGTAGTATAAAATGAATAACAATTAATTACACCTTTTAAACTCCTTTTTTTTTTCTATCAAACACAAGAGAGTGCAATCTCTTGTCTTGCATTCTTTTATCTTTATCAACAAATTACTCTTCCAAAATTCATCAGGAAAGATGCAGACACAATGGTTAAACAGATCTCATTTAATCAGGACTCTACCATAGGTAAATTTATCTATTTAATTAATATAGCAAATGTAGCAAATTAATATTCACAAATATTTCAACTGTCTTTTTTGAGAAATTTGAATTACTAAGACATGGAAGTTTTCAAAGGAATGATTTTTATTAATTCGATACTGATATTCTGTGATGAAATATTATAATAGTTTAAAAAATGTTAAAGGACTAAAATATATATATACATACATATATTTTTTCCCCCACTGATGAATATGTGAATATGTTCTTATAAGGTCATTTATTTGTTTACTTGTATTTTTAACTTAATTAAAATATCAAATCTGCAATACTTTTATTTATAGTTAAATAATTATCAAGTTGATAGAATACAAGTAAAGAACAAAATGTATATTTAACAGTTATATCATCTTAATGAAATGTACTAAAAAAAGCAAATTTAAACTGTTTTTCTGATGGATTTTCTAAACAATTTTCACTAAGAACTTTTTTGGATCGTATTTTCTAAAAAAAATTTTGCTCTGAAGAAAAACAGTTTGAATTATATTTAAAGAGCTATCATAACAAGTATATTGAAAAAATATATTATTACTTTATACAGTAAAATCTGTCTAAAATAGAAACCTTCCCAAACAAAAAAGTCTTCCAACTGGAGCAATTCTCTATGTTAAATATTAATATAAGTAGAACACCCATACAATGCAGAAATGGAAATGTTTTTGGTTACAAAAAAAAAATGTAACTTAACCTGGATAAATTGAAAAATTAAGATTTCATATGTAGACAAATAAGTAAAATTTTCTCCATATACAGTATAAGCATCATGGTAGAGTATTACAAATTATTCCAAACTTTGTCAGAGAAATGAAAGTCATGTGATAATTTACATAATTCATCACAAATTGTTAAACAGCACCCTCCACGTTAATTGTCACTGAGTGATCTTATTCGAGGTTACAAGAAGAGCCGCCATCTTGGATACCTAAGATAAATCTAACCAAAAAAGAATGAAAAAATACAAACCAGTTCAAAACAGAAACTTGCCAAAACATGAAAAATAATTTAGTACTGTATGATGGTTTTTACACAGGTTTTACTGTATTTTGAATAAATTAATAAAAAGTTAAGCAATATTTTATAGCATTTTATGCAAAATATTATTTGCTATTATTATTATCACTATAATGTTTAACAGCTTCCTTTTTTTTTATTTTTTTTATTCTTTCTGCATAGAAGGCACTAAAAGGACATCATCTAATAGAGTCAGGTATAATTATATATAAATATAAAGTACAACTATTCAATTCCGTCTAGTTAGATATTTAGCAGTACAATCTAACAGGAAGACATTTTGTGATGTGCAAAAGATATTTCTGTAGAAAACATTAGTATCAAAACTCACCACTTTGTTGCTTGCATTTCCAATAGTGCCAAACATTTTATTTGTACAAGAAACTCATGCTATACAGAGAGTTTAGCTAATGCAAGAGATACTGCTCAATTTGATCCCCATTCTGAAGGTAAAACAGTGTGTTCGATGGCTGACTGTAATTGATCCTCTATGATCTTCTCACATGCAGTTTGATGCTGTTTTGAGTCTACCAAATTTGCAACATTTTCTCAATAAATCATACTTTTTAAGTTTTTCCATAAATAAAACTGCTGTTTCGTTACCTACAATGCCAAAAGTTCCTTAGAGATAAGTTTTGGTAATAAACTTTTTTTGAAAATGTCACCATATTTAGATTTGGTTGCATTTGGACTGCTAAATATCTCTCAAGACTGGTAAATATGAATATTTTAATTATGATCATCTGGTACCACTTGTTATTATTGTATATAATAACAAACATTCATTTTGATCATTCAATGATTTTGCTAATTTTATATAATTTTATTTGAAATAAAGATAAATTTGATAAAAATTGATCCATAAACATTTTTAAAGCAGAACTCCAATCTTTTATTCCATTAGGAAGGTTAATTCAACTTTCTTTATTTTCAAAACTGCAAATAAATCTTCTTAAATAAAAATTAATTATTTCTTATAGATTATACATAAATTACACTTAAATGTAACATCATCAATTCAGATTTCTAGGCATATTTTCACTCGATCAGCAGTTAAAACAAACCAATTAAAAAAAAAGTAAATAAATATATAATTAAATTTTTGATCCTGATAAAAAATAAAGATAAAAATAACATCTTAAAGAGTAGAAGATAATTTAAAAGTAAATGAGAACTAATGTTTGCTAAAAATACCATGCCTGCATTATATAATTTATAGATCTAACATTCATATCTAACAAAATACAAATAAATAAAATGATTTTATAATAATCAGACATAAAAAAAAAATATTTACATCATACTTTAGATGATTAGTATCAAAAATTTGGTTCATATTGAAAGTGAGGTCACATTAAACTGTATAAAATTATATATTTTGTTGTAATAAATTTGAAAGTTGCAATAATCATATACTATACAATTTTTGGATGTTTTCAGCAGCTTTCTATCAGCTAAAAGCATGAAATTGAGAGCCAACTATTGATCATATTATAAGCAATTCCATGTTAAGCTGTATTTTATTAAGTCTATAACATATAAATTTTACACCCTTAACATCTTAATTCACAGAAAGGTAGTATAAAATGAATAACAATTAATTACACCTTTTAAACTCCTTTTTTTTTTCTATCAAACACAAGAGAGTGCAATCTCTTGTCTTGCATTCTTTTATCTTTATCAACAAATTACTCTTCCAAAATTCATCAGGAAAGATGCAGACACAATGGTTAAACAGATCTCATTTAATCAGGACTCTACCATAGGTAAATTTATCTATTTAATTAATATAGCAAATGTAGCAAATTAATATTCACAAATATTTCAACTGTCTTTTTTGAGAAATTTGAATTACTAAGACATGGAAGTTTTCAAAGGAATGATTTTTATTAATTCGATACTGATATTCTGTGATGAAATATTATAATAGTTTAAAAAATGTTAAAGGACTAAAATATATATATACATACATATATTTTTTCCCCCACTGATGAATATGTGAATATGTTCTTATAAGGTCATTTATTTGTTTACTTGTATTTTTAACTTAATTAAAATATCAAATCTGCAATACTTTTATTTATAGTTAAATAATTATCAAGTTGATAGAATACAAGTAAAGAACAAAATGTATATTTAACAGTTATATCATCTTAATGAAATGTACTAAAAAAAGCAAATTTAAACTGTTTTTCTGATGGATTTTCTAAACAATTTTCACTAAGAACTTTTTTGGATCGTATTTTCTAAAAAAAATTTTGCTCTGAAGAAAAACAGTTTGAATTATATTTAAAGAGCTATCATAACAAGTATATTGAAAAAATATATTATTACTTTATNACATAAAAAAAAAATATTTACATCATACTTTAGATGATTAGTATCAAAAATTTGGTTCATATTGAAAGTGAGGTCACATTAAACTGTATAAAATTATATATTTTGTTGTAATAAATTTGAAAGTTGCAATAATCATATACTATACAATTTTTGGATGTTTTCAGCAGCTTTCTATCAGCTAAAAGCATGAAATTGAGAGCCAACTATTGATCATATTATAAGCAATTCCATGTTAAGCTGTATTTTATTAAGTCTATAACATATAAATTTTACACCCTTAACATCTTAATTCACAGAAAGGTAGTATAAAATGAATAACAATTAATTACACCTTTTAAACTCCTTTTTTTTTTCTATCAAACACAAGAGAGTGCAATCTCTTGTCTTGCATTCTTTTATCTTTATCAACAAATTACTCTTCCAAAATTCATCAGGAAAGATGCAGACACAATGGTTAAACAGATCTCATTTAATCAGGACTCTACCATAGGTAAATTTATCTATTTAATTAATATAGCAAATGTAGCAAATTAATATTCACAAATATTTCAACTGTCTTTTTTGAGAAATTTGAATTACTAAGACATGGAAGTTTTCAAAGGAATGATTTTTATTAATTCGATACTGATATTCTGTGATGAAATATTATAATAGTTTAAAAAATGTTAAAGGACTAAAATATATATATACATACATATATTTTTTCCCCCACTGATGAATATGTGAATATGTTCTTATAAGGTCATTTATTTGTTTACTTGTATTTTTAACTTAATTAAAATATCAAATCTGCAATACTTTTATTTATAGTTAAATAATTATCAAGTTGATAGAATACAAGTAAAGAACAAAATGTATATTTAACAGTTATATCATCTTAATGAAATGTACTAAAAAAAGCAAATTTAAACTGTTTTTCTGATGGATTTTCTAAACAATTTTCACTAAGAACTTTTTTGGATCGTATTTTCTAAAAAAAATTTTGCTCTGAAGAAAAACAGTTTGAATTATATTTAAAGAGCTATCATAACAAGTATATTGAAAAAATATATTATTACTTTATACAGTAAAATCTGTCTAAAATAGAAACCTTCCCAAACAAAAAAGTCTTCCAACTGGAGCAATTCTCTATGTTAAATATTAATATAAGTAGAACACCCATACAATGCAGAAATGGAAATGTTTTTGGTTACAAAAAAAAAATGTAACTTAACCTGGATAAATTGAAAAATTAAGATTTCATATGTAGACAAATAAGTAAAATTTTCTCCATATACAGTATAAGCATCATGGTAGAGTATTACAAATTATTCCAAACTTTGTCAGAGAAATGAAAGTCATGTGATAATTTACATAATTCATCACAAATTGTTAAACAGCACCCTCCACGTTAATTGTCACTGAGTGATCTTATTCGAGGTTACAAGAAGAGCCGCCATCTTGGATACCTAAGATAAATCTAACCAAAAAAGGATGAAAAAATACAAACCAGTTCAAAACAGAAACTTGCCAAAACATGAAAAATAATTTAGTACTGTATGATGGTTTTTACACAGGTTTTACTGTATTTTGAATAAATTAATAAAAAGTTAAGCAATATTTTATAGCATTTTATGCAAAATATTATTTGCTATTATTATTATCACTATAATGTTTAACAGCTTCCTTTTTTTTTATTTTTTTTATTCTTTCTGCATAGAAGGCACTAAAAGGACATCATCTAATAGAGTCAGGTATAATTATATATAAATATAATTTTGAATTTTTTAAAAATTGTACTGAGGTCTATTTACTAAAATATAATCAATCTTTACTAAAAACTTTATACAGATTTAATGAACACGAGCAATGACTGTTATTGTTTAAGAAACATTATATTATATTTTTAAGAAAATTTTATATAAAATAGTTTTATTGATCATGAACGAAAGAAAAAACTGTTTTCCCCCCTAGGAAATGGGTAATAAACTAAATTAATTATTATTATTATTATTAAAGTCTTAAACCTATACTCATAAAATAGAGCAGCAAGAAAAAACTGTTGAAAAGATAGTTTTATGAATGTAAGTTTAAGACTTTAATATTTATTTATGGAGCTATTGTTTAAGCTAAGTCAACTTAAAGTAATATTATTTAAAGATGGTATTATATTTTAATATACAGAATAATTTAAAGGTACAAAAAATAATGAATTCTTACCCAAATAATTAGTTTTATCCTTTATTGGACCCCAACGTTTCCAACCTTTGTCTGGTGAATAGTAGTCAATATGATAGTAGGCTACAGGCACTGATTTGTTTTTTGGAGGCATCCAGCTGATAAGCACCCCCTGAGTTGTCTTCTGTACAGTGACATTGTGGGGTGGCCCTGGAGCTGGTCCTGCAGGGACGGAGGTCTCTGAGGTACCTGCATTACATTAGCATTGGAAATGTCCATTTTGGGGCAGAGAGTGTCCTTCCACATATTATTGGAAAATGTTAAGTACTGATGCCCATTAGAGTTGAAAAATATATACCCCACTGAAATTTTTACTTTTTCTTTTGTTTATAATAAATTTAAGCATACATGTTCTGAGAGAACATAGACATGATCAAAACATACAATTTCATGCAAAAAATTAACATAATAAATAAAATAAATTTAATTATTTAAATTTAAACATGCAGCTATTTAAAAAAAATTAATGTGGATTTGGACAATATCTACCCTCTTTTCTTATATTAATTTAACTTAATAGAAAGAGAAAGGCAAAATGGCAAGAAGCTGTTTCAAAAAAAAAAGTAAATAAATAAATGAAATTTTAATATGGCTTGAAAGTGAGGTGCGTTAAAGAAAATGGGAAATAAAGTATACAGTGTTCTAAAAATATTTGCTCACAGGAAAGTCTAGAGACAACAATTAATTCAATACATATAGAAATAAAATTCAAAAATATTGATTTTTGACTACATTTAAATTCTTTCAGTAAAAACCTCTTATTTCTACAATTAATTTTTAATAACGCACCTTAACTACATGATTTTATTTGTTATCATATAGTTATAGTTATATTGGACAATATAAAAAGTTTTTAAATTGTTGTTTTTAAAAAACAATAACATTTAACAGTGTGAATTTTAATTTCTTTGTTAAATTTGTTAGTGCATCTTACAGAAAAGACAATAAAAATGAAATTTTACAGAGTGTTTTCTGTAAGATGTGTTGACAAAGAAATTAAAATCAACAAAATAAAATTGTTCAATGTTGATAGAAATTTATAAAAGTTTTTTTGTTAAATTAATCATTACAGAAAATCCAAATATAGCAGCAGATTAAACACATTAAATATGGAAATCTTTTTGAATTTTATGAGTGATTATTAGTCACTTTACAAAGGACAATTTTTAACCAAACATTTTTTTGTAATATTTAATACAAAATTATTTGATTTAAAATAGCAACTATAACTTGTAATATTTGAAAACATTTCTACGTTGTTCAAATAATTATAGGACATTGAAATATTAAATTTAATTTACAGTGTTATGAACACTTATCAATCTAATTTTAAGATTTGTATGGTAAGTTAGTCATAAAAACTTCCGAATAACTATATGTCAACTCTAAGCAGGCCACTATTAAAACAAAACTGTTAATACTAAATTGTATTGTAAAATTACCATGATTATACAGTAGTTCTTAATCTTTTTAAATGCTTTATATTGAATAAATTTAGATGGCTTCTATATTTATATCTATTATATTAATTAATCAAAAATTAAGTCAATCTTTTGTAATAAGTAAGAGTTTGTTAGAGAGAGAAAAAAATTTTTTGATTGATATTGGATAAAAAATTTCTCCTTTTGATGTATTGTCTCTTTTGAGAAGTTTTTGTAAATTTCCTAAGTTTTTACTTACTATCCTGGTCATAATATATAAAAAATATTCTGTTCATTAATTATTTTACATTTAATTTTAGCTTACAGTTATACATACAGTTACAAAGAATATCATTTTAAGTTGTATTAAAGCTGTCAATAAATACAGAATCAATAATTTGTAACTTTTATTATCAATAAACGGTTAAGGTTTTCTTAATGCCTGTTTACTTTCAAATCATGGAAATTTTTCCATTTCAAACATATTTTTAAAATATAATATTTTGTATTTTATTCTTACAAAATTAATTTCAAATATCCATTAATGTAATGAATAGAACATCATTTATGAAAAATTCTTTTCCTACAATAGATATTTGACATTTCTATGCTTTACACATATATTTAGGTTTACTATCACTGATCTTGATTTTTTTTTCATCTTTGGTGTTTCATAAATAAAATTTTTTTCATAGACAATAATAATGGATTTTACAATTTTTCATTAAGCATGCTTAATTTTTCCCTCGAGCAAACATTTTTGAACACAATATATATGAATAATTGAAAAATTACTGAAATTTGCAAATTTATTAATATAAAAAAATTACAAGGCCAAACAGAATAGAAATGCATTGAAAATTTTGCAGAAGTGTGAATAATAATTTAATGTAAACTGAAATGGATCTTACCTGAGGGCCTATGTATTGTGGGAATATATGTTGAACCATAGGAATCTGTTGGATAAACACTCTTAAAATCCCAAACTGTTATAAAAATAAGAACAATTACAAAAATAATTAAAAGATTATGGAAAACATAAAATTTATTAAATATCTGAATGTTCTACATCAGTAATACAAATATTGTATCAAAATCATTTTCCAGACATATCAGAAATGTATTTGACAAAGCAAAGAATATTTTATTTTAAAAATACTTTACATCAATGTACAAAAATTAAACATAATATAAATATTTAAATACATAAATAACCCACTGCCTAAAAAAGTATCATGAAAATAATCATTAATCATTATTTATGAATTGTGAGATATTTGATGTGAGATATAAAAAAAAAACTTACATTTATAACAAATTTTAAAATTTTATNTAACTTTTATTATCAATAAACGGTTAAGGTTTTCTTAATGCCTGTTTACTTTCAAATCATGGAAATTTTTCCATTTCAAACATATTTTTAAAATATAATATTTTGTATTTTATTCTTACAAAATTAATTTCAAATATCCATTAATGTAATGAATAGAACATCATTTATGAAAAATTCTTTTCCTACAATAGATATTTGACATTTCTATGCTTTACACATATATTTAGGTTTACTATCACTGATCTTGATTTTTTTTTCATCTTTGGTGTTTCATAAATAAAATTTTTTTCATAGACAATAATAATGGATTTTACAATTTTTCATTAAGCATGCTTAATTTTTCCCTCGAGCAAACATTTTTGAACACAATATATATGAATAATTGAAAAATTACTGAAATTTGCAAATTTATTAATATAAAAAAATTACAAGGCCAAACAGAATAGAAATGCATTGAAAATTTTGCAGAAGTGTGAATAATAATTTAATGTAAACTGAAATGGATCTTACCTGAGGGCCTATGTATTGTGGGAATATATGTTGAACCATAGGAATCTGTTGGATAAACACTCTTAAAATCCCAAACTGTTATAAAAATAAGAACAATTACAAAAATAATTAAAAGATTATGGAAAACATAAAATTTATTAAATATCTGAATGTTCTACATCAGTAATACAAATATTGTATCAAAATCATTTTCCAGACATATCAGAAATGTATTTGACAAAGCAAAGAATATTTTATTTTAAAAATACTTTACATCAATGTACAAAAATTAAACATAATATAAATATTTAAATACATAAATAACCCACTGCCTAAAAAAGTATCATGAAAATAATCATTAATCATTATTTATGAATTGTGAGATATTTGATGTGAGATATAAAAAAAAAACTTACATTTATAACAAATTTTAAAATTTTATATTGAAATTAAAATTTTATTATTTTTGTATAGCTCTTTAAAAATTCTTCAAATTGATGAATCCATTAACATTCAAAAACACTTTATGTAAGATAAATACTGTATTTCTGTACATAAATGACAGATGATAGATTTATTCAATAATGTGAAAAAGAAGAAGAGTTACTTCAAGGAAAGCTTTAGAAAATTTTTCTAGTACAGATAGAGTTAGAAAATTATAACTGAAAAGTACTCATAAATTATTAATATATTAAATATTATCTAAGTTAAAATGCAAAAAAAACGCTTCCACTTAAAAATTTGAAAAATAAGTTTTAGAAGAAAAGTTCCTCTGCTTTCATCAATCTCTGGTTCAGTTTTTTTTATTAAGTAATTACATTGCTAACAAATTTTTATTTCTTACTTAATAAATTATTCATTCCATATAAAGTTACTACTTTAAATGATTAAATATACAGAATATTACATTGAATAGAATATTTATACAAATTATAAAATAATAAAGTCTTAATTAAATATTGTAAACATATTCTTTTTAATTAACAAAATATTTTTCTTCATAAACAGTTTATTATGAAAATATGGTATATGAATGTCATGTTTAGATTCTGAAACAGAAAATTGATTTTTCAGGCTTGTTCACACTAAAAACGTTTTCAAATATATGTTTCAATAAGTCAAAAATAGTTTTGAGACTTTTGTTCCATTTACAGTTCTAAACTTCTTATAGTAGGGAACTCAAAAACATCAATAGGATTGCCAACCATTTAGTTATCTTTTAAATATTGTTTGGTAAACAAAAACTGTTCAGAAATATTCTGAAAATGAGGAGGTGTGTGTATTTTTTAGCTTTTCTCCATGAGAAGTTGGCATTCCTAATTGTAATCCAAATTATTTTCATTCCTGCTAATTTGCAGTTTATTTATTTATGTCTCTTTCCACCCTGTAGATGCTAAGAGAGCCCGTTTTAATCATACTCACCGTGAGTTCATCCAGGCTCACAATGGAGCAGCAGAGTGGTGAGATTGGGACCTGACATATCCAAGACAGACTACCCAAGAAAACTTCTGGCGTTGCTTGCCTGATTCAATTCTGGAACCCCAGAGCAGTAGGCTGATGCTTTAACAGCCTCAGCCATCTGATTGTCCCATTATCATCGTCAAAGGAAAGAAAAAATGTTCCAAAGTTTATTTATAAATTCTCTTTTGTTTATTACTTATTCAAGTTGACATTTTTTCATACTGTGTTCAGAATTTGTTACTCTGAAAGTTATCAACCCTAAAAACCAATTATTTATATATTTTTATATTAATAAATAATAACACTGTACTGTAGATACAAATATTAAATTATATTCAAGAAGTTTAATCAATTCTTACATCTTTGCAACTACTTTTTTGTAGCATTCTGTCAAAAATCCAAAATAATAATGTATTTGCATCATTGTGTTAATATATTAAAATTATTATGCAGTTCTTAAAATAGCATTATACTTTAATATTTCATATTTTATCAATATAGGTTTGATTATTAAAACATCAGTGGCATGCCGTGACATTTGATGATAGGGAAGCTGTGTTTCTGTGATAAGCCAACTTCCAGGGGCAATCAGTTAATTGCATGTCAGTGATGGTCTAGTGTCAAATGACTCTTTTGTTGCATCATTAGTATATCTCAAAGGACGCGACAGGGTTGTTGTAGATTTTAAAACATTTCTCACCATAGCTGTAAAAATCTAAATTTGTTAAACTTAAAAGTCATTTGTTTTCTAACTAATTCGTTTTAGGACCAGGGTCCACGGAAATTTCCAAAATTTACAACTTTTCGGTCACTCTCATCAAACTGGAAAAATTTCTGTCTTTATTACATCTAATATTATGAAGAAATCAGTTCCCACTGTACTCAGCTATAGATTCGTTCGGTTAAGCTTTTGTTTAAGTGAAATTCCGCTCTTTCAGCAGGGTTTTATTTATGTCCCTAATTTCCTAATCTCTTAATTATTTAACTACTTCAAGTACAAAGTAACTGGTTTCAACTTATTTCTACTTGAATATTTGTAGTCTTGGGAAAAAAGTGGAAAGACAAATTTTTATGACAACGGATACATATGTCGTAAATTTAAGGAAAATAAATTCTAGAGCTTTTTCTGTACCTCGTGCATCTCTCTCATTCATTAAATTTAGTTGTAAACGATGCTGTCAAAGTAACAGTTAATTTTTTAACATTATACAAGAATGGTACATGTTTTTTTCTATATCCCCTTAAAGATGAGATATACAAAATCATAATATCACTGGTTTAACATTGAAATCCGCGAGTAATATAAAACCAGAGAGCGGAATAAAAATATCAAATATTTTAATGGACTTTTTAAAACTCCTGTCAACTATACAGAACTATCATAAAAACATACCAGTAAATTCCTATCGGTTGGGTTAAGTTATAAATCTACTCATGATTCACATAATCAGGCGAGGGCAGCCAAATATCAAGCATGCAGGAGGCTAACAGCCCAGAACCAGTCCTGGATAGAATCATTGGAAGCGTTGAGTGTGTAACTTCCATTGTGAGGTTGGTGCTCTGTAAAAGCGCATGCGCAAATGCCTATAATCTGGCTGCTTGGAAGCTTGCCCGGTTTCGACAATACAGAGCCACTGATACAAAAGCAATCTTATCGTTTTTTCACATGTAGTATAGAAATTTGTAATAAGATACATAATGCGGCCAATAATAAAATATTAATTTTAATTAATTCAAAGTACTGTACGTTAAAATATTAAAATAATCGCGCAATATGTACTTATATTTTAGAAAATACAAGAGAAGTGGCACTTCCACCGCTTCCAAGGACGGCACGCCACTGTAAAACATTAATTAATGTAAAAATACTGGTTTAGTTAATAAATTTTACTTACTGATTTCACCTCATGTACAAGTTTACCTTATTTGTTATCCTGGATTCATTATCATTTTATGAAAAATACTGTTTATTAATTAAAAACAGATATTGTTTTAGTTTTACAATAAAATTATTATTATTTTATTACAAACTGCATTGTTTATGGAAGTTATTTTCTTGTTCAAATATTCAAGAGATATCAAATAATATTAATAATCATAAACAGTTTCTTGTTTGCCAAAAATGTTTTTTATGACCCAAAAAAAAAAATTTACAAAATCAATAATAGGTCACATCAAAAATGTCATCATCATAACAATTTCATGTTGTATGAAATCAGATTTTTACTATTTATAAAAATAGTAAAAATCTACTGCATCACCACATAATATAAATATTTAAGTAATTATATTTTAATTAAATATTTATAAAAACTAACAGAAAATATTAAAAAAAATTATAAATTTTAATTAATTATTTGTTGTACAGTTCAAAACAATTTGTTTTCAATTATTTTCTTCAAAGAAATAATTAATTGACAACTACAAGTATTTATTTATTATTGTCAAACATTGAATTATATTGCATAATAAAATTAATAAAGTACAATATTTTTCTGCTGTTTTAATAATATAATTATACATTAATTACTTTAAAATTTTTTCATGTATTGCAATTCTAATTTAGACAGTAACATTGAATTGTATCAAACTTGTAACATGATAACCTTAAAATAATATAATTAAGATTGAATGTTTAACTGCACTTTTAGTATTCACATAATAGTTATACTTAAAAAAATAAATATACAGTATATATATTAGTTCATGAAATTAAAAGATATTAGAAAAAGAATTACTTACGATTAGTCTTGGCCCGAATTATTGGACTAAATAATCCATCACCTAGTATATTACGAGAGAGCACCTGAAATTCATATTCTTTTTCAGACTGTAGATTATATATTGTAAAAGTGGTAGCCCCATCAGGCTGAACACGAATGGTTCTCCAATCACTTTCTCCCTGATCAGCAAGCCTATACCTATTATCAAATACACAATGCAAACATATTATTATTAAAATTCATTAACTTCGGTGATTCACAATGATGTAAAATGTGTTGGAAACTGATAAACTTAGCAAAGGTTCAAAGTTCTAAGAAAAAATATAAGTATGAATTTTTAAAAAAGAAAAATATAATTGGTGAAGCATCAAAGAAGAAATATTACGTTAAAAATTAATAACAAGCTTTGTCAAATGTAATTAAAAATGTATTTAAATAAGGTTATTTCATTGTTGTATGTAACAGATTTTAATCTAACGATTATAAGAGCTTAGGTTGACATCACATTGAGACTAATCAGTTCATTCATTTAATTACATTTATTTTTGTACTAATTTCTTTTATCTCATTATAGTTATTTAAATCTTTAAGAATACTTTTGCATTTTAAAATATATGCGCTATATAAATGTGTTTGAAATGACCACTTTTAAAATTCCAATTAATTTTGTTCAGCTGCATGAAAACAATAAGAATAATTTATCAAATACTGTATATAAAAAAATTTATGGGTAGTACATTTTTGTATTTTGTGAGTTATAATTATTATAACTAAAAGACTTAATAAAAAATTTTTATATGTAGATGTTATCTGTTTTGTTAATAAAATAATTAAATTTTATCAAATTCCACAAATTACCAATGATGTTAGTGGATCATTAAAATACAGCTCGAATTCATAAAACTCTGTTTTAAAATCTCAAATCACTCTTAAAATAAAGTTTTTAAAACTAATTTGTAAAAATAAAAGTACAAGATAAATTGAAAAACAAATTCCAAAAATTCTATTAAATATATAAATTCAAATAAGCTTTTCAATATTATTATTTTTAAAAGTTTTTTTAACTTTGAAGTTTTTATAACAAGTTTTCTGCCAACAGAAGACATTACAATTGTTTAACATTTCAAATTTTAAGTTTGTAGATTGCAATTTTCAATCAAATTTCAAAAATTACTTAAAATTGATATGCAAATCGACTTAAAGTATTTCATTAAATAACTTCAAATAGGAAACAAATAATTGAGTTATTCAAAAGTGTTAAAAATATACATTACAGATAGAAGTAATATAACAAGTAAACTTTGTTCACTAAACAATTTTTTTAATATGAGTTAAAATCATGAATTCATTATGTGATAAAAAAAACTTTTGTTAAAGAAAATCAACAGTAACAATAATATATTTTATTTTGTATTTTACTCTGAACATAAAGTTTAATTTCCATTCATTTGAAAATGTTCAAATATATTAAATTTTATTTTTCTTCTCTATTTATGACTGATATAATGTAACATGAGCTACATCAATAGTTTTTCCATATCAACAACAGTTACTTTTGAGAATTCAAATAGAATTTTATTTTACTTCAATATTACTATGACAATTATTGTTGTGATGAAACATTTAAAACTGTTTAAATATAATTACTATAAATAAATTAATTCAATATTATTTTTAGAATATTATGGAAGAAAATGTCAGCCTGGCAGAAGATTCAACCACAAATCCTCCTTGTTATGTAGACACATTGCCAGTTACACTTCTTGACCTCCAGGTAACTTTGAAACTTTTATTAAGCAAACTGTTCAAATTAATTTTTCTTTTTATGTACAACTGTTTCTAAGTTATAACTATTGTGTATTTTTGGTACAATTATTTTATTTCCCATTTTGATATTGATAATTACAGTTTTAGAAAATCATATCATTAAATCTACCAATAAATAAACTGATTCACAAAAGTTGGTAGCACAATTGAATAAATACTAACCATACTGCTTATTAAGGTTATCGAAGATCAAATTAAAAACAGTTAAACATTTAAATTTAAAATTTAAACTCATAACTAAATATTTATTTATAATGTGTTTTTTTAAATTAAAATATTTTATTTGCAAATATCTTGTTATTTTTTTACTAATGGCTTTATAAGCAAATTTAAATCCATCAAATGATCAGAAACATTTTCTAAAGCTTTCTACTATTTCAGAATTTTGAATAAATTTAGCCATTTTGATTATTTCTTTTTCATTTTATATTTGGTTTCTCAAATAATAAAGATTTGTCTTTTATTACATAATAAATGCAAAATTTAGCTTATTGTACTTTAAAAGAAACCTAGAAAATAAAAATAAATCGGATATTTTACTATACACTTAATTTATATTTATTATATTTTTAAATAAATTATGGAATAGAAATTTGTTTCCAACTTAAATAATTTAATGAAATATTTGAATATGAGAAATTATTACTAAATTATCCTTAAACGTTTTAAAATATTTCAATCATCTTTGAGTATCCTACAACTTTAAATAATTCATCACGTATGCGTGAACATTTATCATTTTAATAGTTACCTCAGAAATTATTATCACATTTCTTTTTTAAATCTAAAAATATTTTAAGTTTTTAAAAACATTTAACATAAATGCATTATCTTATCAGCACTATCTAATTTCTTATTTTATGTTATATGAGTGTATGTATATGCTAAATAATCCTCAAAATTTTTCTGTGATGTATTGGTCAAAGATGAAATCCATAAAGAATTGATAAAATATAAAATGTATGACAAATTTTTAAATTTTTAATTTAAAAATAAGATTTAATTAGTATTAATATAAAGCATTTTTTAATTTTAAAATGTTTTAACACCTGTTAATGTTATCATAAAATTTATTGCATGTAATAAAACAGAATAAATAGCAAAAAAAAAAAAAATGATAATTTGTAGTCAACTTCATTGCATGGTAAATTGTTGTCATGGGGCACTTTTTTTATAATCAGTTATTTTCGTTCATATAATAGATACTAATTTTATTCTTTATATGTTTATTGTTTTTTTATTATTAATATTAATAGATGTTATATTGGAAATTTTTAAAATTAGAAAATATTTCTCTGTAAATATAGACTCTGTTTCATTTATAAATAAAAATATCTGTAAATTTATTATTGATTTATATTGAAATATAACATTATAATAAATAAAAT